AATTCCCGCTCTAGAGTTAACCCCGTGAAAGTGCTACTGACTACCGTTTCAATCGGGTTGTTTTCAAATGTAAAGTTAAAGGATCGCCTGTTTTTAGATCATGTTATATTTCGTTATGTTGTAAATTTGAAGAATAATCATTTCCCCGAAAATTGGAATGGTCGTTATGTTCATTTCATTTAATATGTTCTTAACCTGTATACTATAATATATGAATTATTTATTTAGTGAAACATTACAGCTCGATTGTAATTATTTATTTACTTACTTTCATGTTGACTATATTAATGTTTAGAATAAAATCTTATCTTGAAAGACGATCGTTACATTTAATTGACAGGAAGTGTGAAATGAAATGAAATGAAATGGGGTTTAACGTCCTACTGTTCTGCTCCTAACCTGGGCTAATGAAGACGGGCATACGCCATACAGTGTGCTATGAGGGAAATTTTGCCCGGGCAGCGGCACTATCGCCTACTCTTATATCGAATTCCAACTGCCAAGGAATCTTTTACGTGCATTCCAATGTATACACGGGACCTCGGTTTTTCGTCTCATCCGAAGGACTAGACAGCTGTCCTTGTCAGGCCCTCTGTCCTGCATCACTGACAAGGGGGAACCACGCCTGAAAATCTGGATGAACTTTCTCGGCCAATGCAGGGATCGAACACCCGACCTCCAGGCTAGTGGGCCAGCGCCTTACCGACTTAGCCACGTGATCCCCGACAGGAAGTGTATCAAGGGCCGTGCTAAATATGAGTCATGGACAAAATCAAGAGAAAATGAAGCATTTCAATTATTTCATTCGTTTGTGTGCCCTTGCCAAGCTCCGCTCCTCCGCTGGAATGTGCCGGGGCCTCAGCTGATCATTACCGATCCTCTCAAAGGGGCCCATGAGTGTTATCCAACTGTATCACAATCACAATCTGGTTAAAACACAGATCCTATTTCGTTTCGTTTTTATAGTTCAAAATTTCGCTTTACTTGTCTTTACTACACTTTGATCTGGAAGAGTTGTTATTTAAAGGACAATATTACCAGTCATTATCACATAATATGTGATAGAGCTGGTTAAACACATTCCAAATATAATTTTAACACATAGATCATTTCTACGATAGCTGAGTAATACAGGTTTCCTGAATCGGAACTGACGAATGCCAAAGGAAAACACGAGTCATACCTCTATAAAACTGACTCATGTGACGAGTGATATGAGTGATAGTACGGCCGAATTTCTGCTCACTAATAATTCCTTCTAAGACCAAAAGTCGGTCTTTTGACCCCTGGCGTGACCTATGGCTATAACTTGTCAGATCTTCATGACTTGTAGGCCATCGAAAGTATAAAACGAAACGAAATATAGAACGCTTTAGTTTATACCGTCTGTCAATGAGTCAAGTGGCGTGGTTTCGATTTCCCGTTTGCATCATGAACTCTTTAATATTAAACCCAAGTTTACTAAATGTCATTGTGCTTGATAACGATTAAGAGGATACTTGTCGAAACGTCGTGCTATTTGAATAAAACCAGTGATTGTTTCCCATAAAAATTGTGTTCTGTTATTGTGTACCCTAATCACTAAATGCCACTTAAAGATTATGTTTCAATTTGTTACTGTCATATATTATGTCTTTATAATCAGACTGTGATTTGCACAGATTATGTTATGGGTAAATCCGTATAACTCATGGTAATTCTGATATAATTCGACTTTATTTTGCTAATAAATCCACTATATATATTCTCTCTCAGAAAAGAAATATATATTAAATGTTTAAATGCACATAAATTACTGTTAGTTTCGAAGACCTTGCATTTCCTGTTTTGTTTTAAATAAAAAAGAGTACGCCACGTTAAAATAGTCCACAGTCGTGAGTATTTCCGGTGTCTATTTTTAGCCTGGCCTTTTTCAACACGGGTCTTTATAAATGCTAGGGAAAATGTTTTTTTCCTCTTTTTCTCTTTATACAAAAAGTATTCTTGAATGCCACTCTTGCTGTTAAGTTGCGTGTAGCATTCGTAATAAATTACCAATTTCAAATCGTGTCTAAATTATTTTTGTTTCGTTTCATTGACGATGTGCAGACGATATATGTCAAGCTCGCATACGGTCCAGTTGACCGCAGTACGTAAAAGCATTAAGATGCATTGCTGAATGAAGCCGATTTATATGTTTTCTTTTAATTTTTCTGCAAACAATTAATAGATAACATCTGTTTGCTTTAAAATGCCATGAAATAGAGCATAAGAGTAAATAATAGAATGGGTTAGAGATGGTGACCTGCGGTTCCACAAAAGAATTATTCAAGACGATATTAAAATTTAAGCACGACCGTAGCACATTTTAAAAAAAGAGAACAAATAATAATCACGCTGTATAGAATGCACCGAGTCCAGTTACATATTTTTTTTATTCAACATTAGTTCTCTGAACCAAATACTGAATTAGAAATTGATAAAATGGACGCAAATATATCATATTCTTCTTCTTGTTGCGGATCAAGATAAACTGATTGGATTAAAATTTCACTGCATGGGTGGCAAAAGCTGAGCCAAGACGATTTATGTGGTTACAATTAACAGAAAAAAACGGTTTTAAAAATATTCCCAGATTATTAGGCCTAATTATTGGAAATTGTTGAACATCAAGGTTTGTTTATTCATCTCATATAAATTGGGGTGACAATAATACGACCACATTTAAAAAAGAAATGAAATGAACTTTAACGACTCGCTTTTCTGCACGACACTGTGGGGTTATTGTGCCCGGACAGTGGTATTTCCAACTACTATTCATAGAATTGCATGTGTCAAGGACGCTTTTAAGTGCATGCCAAAGTAAATGGGACGTTGATATTTCCTTTCATGAGAACAACCAGGGTGTATTCGAAACAGTGTTCCGGTGCAGAGAACGGACGGAGAATGGGTTCTTGCCGGTCTCGGTAAGCCGGGAATGCGTTCGCGAACACGTTCCCGTTCTACCTCGTTAGCTGGTACGTGTGAGGCGAGAACAAACATGGTCGACGCGTCGACAACTGCCGAGAAAACAGCATCTCATGCGTCCATTAATTATTATACGTCCACATTCATAATAATAATAATAACAGTTTATTCACAACTACATGTACAAGCATGAGTATGGAAGTTACAACAAACATTTCACATGTGGACGTATCATGCCGTCGCCCCTAGTCTCTGTGTATGTGTCTGTGGGTCACCTACAGGGCGCAATTCTTACTGGATTTTCTTCAAACTATACTTATTGTATTCCTTATACCCTAAGGATGATCCCTATTGTTTTTGGTGCATGCCCGACCCCCAGGGACAGAGCCACGCCCATTTCTTGTATTTGTTTGTTTGTCGTCTACAGGCCGCATTTCTTAACGTATCATCTTGAAACTTTGCATACTTTTTCTTTGTACCCTGAGGCGTCATCCCTATGGTTTTGGGTGCATGCCCATCCCTCAGGGGCAGAGCCACGCCCATTTCTTTTTGTGTGCCTGTGTGTCGCCTACAGGCCACAATTCTTATATAAGTGATCATCCTGAAACTTTACATACTTATTCCTTATACCCTAAGGATGATCCCTATTGTTTTTTGGTGCATAACAAAAAGTTACATAGATTAAAAACATGAATAAAATATTTGGTTGCAATGCCATTTCGGTACTGCGAACTTTGGGACTAGTCTGACTAGTCTGACGACAGTGCAGACTCGGTCTGGTGACATTTTGGACACGGATGAATAAATAAAAGACTGTTCAAAATTTGAGCGTATAGTCTCTAAACACTAATAATTAATTAAGCTTTATAATGAGATCTTTAAACATCATGCACAGAATATTTTTTACTTACTAATATAAAAATATAGATTTAAAAAATAATTTTAAAACAAAATAAAACATAAGCATTATATGCTTACTATGCTACATATAGAACACATTAATAAAATCTAATTACACAAATTTACAATTTGATCTATATTTTATTTTGATATAATACTTGGAGTATTCAACATAAGACGGTGGTATCCCTTCTTTATCAGCTGCCTGTTCTCTTTAGAGTCTGATTTCAGCAAGTATTTATAGGTTAAATATTTTCTAAAATGTGTTAAACATTTTCTAAAATGTTTTAAAGATTTTCTAAGATGTGTTAAATATTTTCTATAATGTGCTAAATATTTTCTAAAATGCACTAAATATGTTCTAAAATGTGCTATATATTTTCTAAAATATTTTAGACATTAACCAGAGCTATATCAAGGATACACAAGGATTTTAGAAAATATTCAACATATATTAGGACATATTCAACATACTTTGAAAATATTTAACATAACATAATGTTTAACACATTTTAGAAAATATTTAACCTATAAATACTTGCTGAAATCAGACTCTAAAGAGAACAGGCAACTGATAAAGAAGGGATACCACCGTCTTATGTTGAGTACTCCAAGTATTATATCAAAATAAAATATAGATCAAATTGTAAATTTGTGTAATTAGATTTTATTAATGTGTTCTACATGTAGCATAGTAAGCATATAATGCTTATGTTTTATTTTGTTTTAAAATTATTTTTTAAATCTATATTTTTATATGTTGAATATTTTTTAAGATATGTTCAATTTTTTATAAGGCGTCATCCCTATGGTTTTGGGTGCATGCCCATCCCTCAGGGGCAGAGCCACGCCCATTTCTTTTTGTGTGCCTGTGTGTCGCCTACAGGCCATAATTCTTATATAAGTGATCATCCTGAAACTTTACATACTTATTCCTTATACCCTAAGGATGATCCCTATTGTTTTTTGGTGCATAACAAAAAGTTACATAGATTAAAAACATGAATAAAATATTTGGTTGCAATGCCATTTCGGTACCGCGAACTTTGGGACTAGTCTGACGACAGTGCAGACTCGGTCTGGTGACATTTTGGACACGGATGAATAAATAAAAGACTGTTCAAAATTTGAGGTATAGTCTCTAAACACTAATAATTAATTAAGCTTTATAATGAGATCTTTAAACATCATGCACAGAATATTTTTTACTTACTAATATAAAAATATAGATTTAAAAAATAATTTTAAAACAAAATAAAACATAAGCATTATATGCTTACTATGCTACATGTAGAACACATTAATAAAATCTAATTACACAAATTTACAATTTGATCTATATTTTATTTTGATATAATACTTGGAGTATTCAACATAAGACGGTGGTATCCCTTCTTTATCAGTTGCCTATTCTCTTTAGAGTCTGATTTCAGCAAGTATTTATAGGTTAAATATTTTCTAAAATGTGTTAAACATTTTCTAAAATGTTTTAAAGATTTTCTAAGATGTGTTAAATATTTTCTATAATGTGCTAAATATTTTCTAAAATGCACTAAATATGTTCTAAAATGTGCTATATATTTTCTAAAATATTTTAGACATTAACCAGAGCTATATCAAGGATACACAAGGATTTTAGAAAATATTCAACATATATTAGGACATATTCAACATACTTTGAAAATATTTAACATAACATAATGTTTGAAAATATTCAACATAATTTTTGAAAATATTCAATCAACATATTTTTGAAAATATTTAACATAATAATTTTAAGGAATATTCAACATACCCGGTATATTAAAGAAAATTCAACATGTTTTATAAAAAATTGAACATATCTTAAAAAATATTCAACATATAAAAATATAGATTTAAAAAATAATTTTAAAACAAAATAAAACATAAGCATTATATGCTTACTATGCTACATGTAGAACACATTAATAAAATCTAATTACACAAATTTACAATTTGATCTATATTTTATTTTGATATAATACTTGGAGTACTCAACATAAGACGGTGGTATCCCTTCTTTATCAGTTGCCTGTTCTCTTTAGAGTCTGATTTCAGCAAGTATTTATAGGTTAAATATTTTCTAAAATGTGTTAAACATTTTCTAAAATGTTTTAAAGATTTTCTAAGATGTGTTAAATATTTTCTATAATGTGCTAAATATTTTCTAAAATGCACTAAATATGTTCTAAAATGTGCTATATATTTTCTAAAATATTTTAGACATTAACCAGAGCTATATCAAGGATACACAAGGATTTTAGAAAATATTCAACATATATTAGGACATATTCAACATACTTTGAAAATATTTAACATAACATAATGTTTGAAAATATTCAACATAATTTTTGAAAATATTCAATCAACATATTTTTGAAAATATTTAACATAATAATTTTAAGGAATATTCAACATACCCGGTATATTAAAGAAAATTCAACATGTTTTATAAAAAATTGAACATATCTTAAAAAATATTCAACATATTTTTGAAAATATGTCATATATAGGCCAAGAAATTTAAATATCTTGGAATGTACAAAAGTTGCATAGCTGTTTGATTTTTTTTCACCCATGTGTCTCGTATAGACAGAGCCATTTAATGATAACTACAATGAAATATACAATTAAAACCCAGAGTTGGGTCTAGTTATAGCTTGATGTTATTTTGAACTATTTTCCATGTTACAGGTGCCTGAAGGTATGAAGCGTTGAGGGTAGAAGTCAGATGTTCTGGTAAGGTGTGAAAATTGATCACTTCCCCATGTTCATTCATATAGCCTACATACAACAGACCATTGAATGTTGATTTTGAAATTCTTGGGTAATAGCTAATCAATATTTTTGAGTAACTTATTCAACCATGCAAGCACCCGTTCAAATAATTGTATTTGATTCAAAGTCAATAGATATTCGCTTTGTTTGCTGAGGTCAACTTCCATTATTCTAAAATTAAAGTTTGATCTGCCAATGTTTTTTCTGCAAAACAGTAACACCAAGGTTTGGTACGGCAGTGTAGATGTATCAAACGAAACACTACAGAAAATATATGGGTAAATACGTAAAATTCATTGCTGGTAATTCTGATATAATTTGACTTTATTTTGCTAATAAATCCATTAATCTCTCTCGGAAAAGAAATATTTTAAATATTTAAATGCACATAAATTCTTGCATTTCCTGTTTTGTTTTAAATAAAAAAAGTATGGACATTAGATTTCTTGAAATCATCCTTATCAATTTTGGTCAACATCCAAATTTTCCTTTGTGATAAGTTGTTGTCATATGGCTGCTGTGTGGGCGTATTTAGACAATTTCCATGGGCTATCTTTTTTTTTGTAAAGAATTAGAGAAAGAATAATTTATCAGCTAAATCTAAAGATGGTTCTTTATGAAGTGATTGTCCAACTAAGAAAGCTAATTTATGAGCATACTGACATGGTGCTGGTACACGAATAGTTCCCTGAAAATATAAAGTTCAGTTAAACTTGACAATATGGAAAAATATCCTCCCATTAAAGATGGATTATATAAGATTTAGATAAAGAGCTTGCCATTCTAGCTATAATAGTTCCAAAATAGATAATCCAAAATGAATATATTGATAATTGCATTCAAATTACTTTATTCTGACTGAGTGAAGTTATCACTGTTTGAGGTTTTGACAAGATGTGGCATAGATTGTTTATTATCGTAGAAATGGTACTTGTTACTCGAGTCTAAGCCTTGATTCACCATTTTTAAATTAAAATTAATCATTAAATAGCGATTGTCTTTCAACACGTTTACAGCTCCGCCATCCTTTGGTCTAGACAGTTGATAATGGGCTTGTCATGTGAATAAATGTCTAAATAATACTGTAGGTAGTTCATATAACATTTGAAGCCAAAATATAGTCCTGCAATAGGCAGATTTAGCTCTTTCATAATACATTGTTAAGCACAATCTTAAAGTAAAGGGAAATGAAACGTCCTGCTTTTCCACACCAAAGGGGCAATTGAAAACCGGCAATCACCATACCGTGTGCTATGAGGGACAGTTGACAGCACTACCCTCAATTAAAGAATGTGAAAGTGATTTCAAAAGACTACCACACCAGAAATCTGTTTTTAGAAAAATAATGGGTCAAATTTATTTATACTGTTAGTCATGTTTCAAATTACCAACTAGTTCTATTGCCAGTGACATCACGAAAATAACATTTATTCAGCAAAGCAGCTGAGAGATGTATTAATTAAATCCCCCAGTCTACATTAAGATTTAAAATCAATCTTATATCCAATTAGATTAGAATAATAAACAGTTGATCTTTTTTATTTTAAAAATATCAGATATCCATGTAACTTGATCTTGTTAACCGCAGCAAAGTTGACTGCAGGTTTTAACTCATTGGAATGAACTGTATCCTTCAGCTTTAATATGTTAGTTATTTCGTATTTGATAAATAAATCTAAACATATTATTTAATACATATTGAAATACTTACAGGCCAGTTATAATATAAATGTGTTAATTTATAACTCAGTTTTTGCATGTGATCAGGCTGCAGACCAGTTTCATCCCATATTATATTATAATGTGTTGGAGTTACGGTTCCTTGTCGAACAGATTGGGATACCAAGAAGAAATCATACCTGAAATTTAATGTCAGACATTATTATAAAAAAGAAGTACTGGTACCTAAGAAAAACAAGCAGCTGCCATGCATGATATGCCAGCATTTTGCAAGAGGTGGACAGAGAACAAGCTAAAAATGTGATTTTTCATACAACCAGGGGCATAATCCAGGAAGTTACTGTCCGATATGCGGCAATATCGCAAGGAACCAAGATCTTTGGGTTATAAACATACATTTTAAGTTTCATCAAACTGAATAAAAATTGTGAACTCTAAAGTGTCCACAAGCTAAAAACGTGATTTTTGATACAATCAGGGTCCATTATCAATGACAATATCGAAAGGAACCAAGTTCTTTAGGATATAAACCTATATTTCAAGTTTGGTCAAAATCTGATTAAAATTGTGACCTGTAGGGTCCACAAAAAAAATGTGAACGGACACATGGACATCCGGGCACAGCGACGGACAGGGGCGATGGCAATATACGGCCACATGAAAACGTTGACGTATAAAAAGGCAACTGTATACATTTTCTTAGTACCATAAAACCAAATTTATTTTATCAGTTATGTGGCTTCTTGTTCAGCCACAGTTAATGATCGACAGACTAAAAAATTGAAATGAATAGGCTATAAGAATGGAAAGAAAGTGTGTAAACGTAACAGTTTTGCTAGTCCTAATTAAAAGGGCCATCCAATTGATCGACAGAATCAATATACTTTTTAATCAATTTACTTTTTAATCAATTTACTTTTTAATCTACGTATTTACATGTCATATCCTTATATTTCAGAATTTGAAAAAATTTAACTATAAAACACAACAAATGCAATTAAATTTATAGCTTTAATGTATAAAAACACTCAAACACATGTCAAATCTCGATAAACAAAATGAATGAAAAATTGCCTGGCTGACAAAATGTTACAGTGAGAGGTTGTCGAGGTAAATCCTTTCTTAGTTTTACAATTGTGAACAGAGCTAGACTTTAGCTGTGATAGGAAAGCAGAGAAAATCCATGAGATAATGGAGGAGAAACTACCTATTCTTCAAATACCATTGAGGCATGAAAGACATGACAACTGGATGACAAGTTAATGGTTAAAATGACACAGTCATTCTCTTTGAGTATGGTGAAATATCTTGCTATAGCATCATTAACATATTGCAATAAGAGAATATTTATTACCATTCAGGTTTTGTGACTTCTGTATCTACAATGGTTCCTGGAAGTGGATTGGTATAATTTGGTGGAGTACGGGCAAAAAATCTGGCATTTATACGTTTCTTGACGATCATAAAACATAGTTTAGCCCTAAAAAACAAAAAAACAAGAATATATAAATGTTCGGCTTTTTCCTCTCTAAACTGGATCAAAATGAAATTGCCAAATCGATTACAATAGAAAACAAACTAGGTCATTTCAAGACTAACATACAGTACAATTTTATTTTGATAATTTAATTACTTGGGTGTTGTGGTCTTTACGAGTGAGAGGAAACGTGAGGAATCCCACAAGGTTAGGCAGGTGTCTCTACTCCCTGTCACGTAGAAATGTGGGATCAAAACATGCAACACGACTCAATGAAAGACGGTATAATCTAAAGCATACATGTTAAACCCAGCCCCAACCCCCCCTTTTCATTGTATTTTATACATTGATCTGTTTGTTTGTGATGGGTTGTGTGGCCTAATGGTTAACGTGTGTGCTTTGCATCATAAGGTCTGTCATTGAGTCAAGTGGCGTCATTTCTCATTTCGATTCCCCGTTTGTGCGACAAGTAGGGTCGCCTATCCAACCTTGTGGGTTTTCTCCAGGTTCCCCAGTTTCCTCCCCCAGCTATATACCCCTATGTGCAAGCAAATTATTGAAATAAAATTGAACCAAGTTAATACCAAAATGACCTAGTTTGTGTCAAGTGGATGTTAAACCCTATTTCTCTCTCTGTTCTTAGATACTGCTGTGGTATTACCTAGAAGCACACAAGCTAAAATCATCTTTCTTAATAGAGTATTCACCAACAGCCAGTGTTTACAAAGTTTGATGTTTACCTATTATACCATATGTGGTATTTTGTTTATTTACAGTAAACTTACTGACTGCTAGCTAGTGTCCTAATTAAAGGCAAAGATGTATTCTTCTTGTTGTGCTTTGTTTAAATGGCTGGTTTTCTCCTTTAAGTAACTCTTTGACTATCTATTTACATACAGTGACTGCAGTGACTGCACAATGTCACAGCTAGTGTCTTAATTAAAGGCAGTGTACATCTAGTTGTACATTGTTCAATTGGCTGGCTATTTCTTTAATTTAAACTTTCACTGCCTATTATCCTTTATGGAACTATACCAGACTTAAGGAAAGTAATCTCAGTTTTGTTTCCTGGGAGATGCTTTCTAAATTAATTATACAGTTGGCAGTAATTAAATTGAATCAAGAATTATGATTAACCCATTATAAAATAATCAAAGATGGCAACTCTTACTCAAGACATCCCAAATTTCTCATAACTTGTTTAACTTGAAATACTTCATGTTGAAATACAGCAGCTAGTTGCCCATCACCAACACCATCTCGATATACTATAATTTTATTAGGAAATTCTCCATTGACTTCATGATATTTACGTAGAGCTCCTGGTTGAAGAAAGAAAAAGAAAATTTTCTTTAACATCAATTACTTCAAAATAATTCCTGTAGATCCTGCTTGAATTCTTGGTGGAATCATTAATAACTTGATTAGAGAAACTTGAGAATTTTGAGTGATGTCAACAATAGATTTAAAACAAAAAATTCACAAGTTTCTGATCTTCCGCCCCATCCCACTCGTATACAGCGCATATATGAACTAATTACCATTCAAGCACCCACAACAAAATTCACTAAATCGAAAAAGTGCAAAACTGATTCTTCACTGATGTTCGGCTATGCGCAGAACATGAGGTACGTAGAATGTTTTTTCATATCAATAATTACTTGATAAAGATACCTGTAAAAGTATTGAAATCTATAAAGTTGCGTTTTTATGAATGTGATACCTCTAAAGGTGATTTAAGGATATTATATATGTTTACTGTACCTGTCATAGCCACATGTAATCCATCCACCAATTCGGAACCTTTAGGTTGAAATGAAACCCGACTGTAGTAACGAGTGGCAGTAATGTTTAAAGAGCTGATAATTCCGGCGACTGATTGTCCTTTTCTTAAACCATCATGATATGTATCTATACCAACATACATCGTACCTTTCAACTAAAACAAATTACATCAACTTTCTTATTAAAGTTACACCAACATTTTGTTATGTATTATTTATCGATACATCATCTTGGTACGGGGCAGATTCACTAATGCCAATAAATTTTGCCAGTAATTTTAAAAAGCTTTGATTTTCAAGACATTTAATTGACCAGCTAACCAAGGAACTCATGGTTAAAAAGCTGCTGTAACAGGCCTGGAACATACTTTTTGTTAACATTTAGGTGTTAATGGAGAGACCAACCAACAAAAGGAAATAACATTGTTAGTTATACATTTAAAATACATGTAGATTCTAATGAACAGCAAAAATATATCTATAACCCAAAACAATAGAACCTATATACCGGTAGGTGACATATCAAGACGAAACACCTTTGACATAATGCAACTTTTACCATAGGCATCATGAGGGCAGGATTTAGATGAAGAGAGACCCTATATTATATGCTATTGCACTTATGGGGACCCCTCCCAAACCAACAAGATGAAAGTGTGTTTTAAACACAACTGAGCAAAGTCAAGAATAATGGATGTTTAAGACTGCAATGCATGTAAGAATTGTTTATGACAGTATTAAACACTTTGGCCCGATCTTGAGGCTCTAGTCTTCAGCCTGCCAAACCTAAATACGGCACTGGATACTGTAACCAGCTTATTGATGTTAACAGTTCATCCTACTGGTTTCTTCTTATTCATAAATCATAGACACTTGATTCAGCTAATTATACAACTTTATGTACATACAGTAAATAACAATTATAACAGACATCATCCAGACTGTATAAATACTACAGAATAATGATCAACTAAAGAAGTATAAAATCAAGAGTTGACATAAATGTAAGTGTAGCCTGTTATCTGTATCTCCTAACTAACTTGTCCTTCATGGCGCTGGATCCACCTTCATATTTATATACTTGAAGATGTAACCCCTAGCTAACTACATTACAATTAACATAAACACAACAATTTAGACATATCTTTACATATTTGTGGTTTGAAGAGAAGACCTGATTATCGTTGGAGGAAGATACCATTTATGGTTATAACTATTTAAAAAAAAAAAAAAAACAACAGAAAAGACTTACAGGAATTTTTAGCTTCCAAATTTCACCACCTAATTTACAGTTGATTTGTATAGCTATTTTAGTAGCTACGGACATCAACATATGTGTTTTCAATAATGTTTTAGCTACCACTACTTGTGATGGAACTGAAAAAAAAAAATTAATTGCATGCATGGACCAGAATAAGTATAATACAATGCTTTAATGACATTAACTAATTGAACAAGAATTACACACTACAGAGGATACAAGTCTATGGAATACAATTACTGTTTATTACTGAGCGATATTTCGACTAGGCTTCTCTAGATAATAAACAGTAACTGGCTAGCTCTACAAACCATATATACTTTACAGTGACAACAGTTAGTCTAGGACAGTGACAACAGTTAATAGTGACAACAGTTAATCTAGGACTATGACAGCAGTTAATCTCTAACTCAATATTTCCCATCATATTCAAAATAAAAATCACAAATTGAAATTCAATATTGGTTAATTTCAATCAATATAGATGTTGTTATCTTGATGTGAAAATATGAGATCCTACATGTAATATCCAATATTTAAGACACAATTAACAGTTTATAGTCAGTACACAAGTTCTGTATTCTACAGTTTTAGGTGCCAATTTTAAATATTGGATATTAGGATCCTATAATTTCACGGCAAGATAACAACATCAATATTGATTGAAATTGATCAATATTGAATTCTAATTCGTGTTTTTAACTTTGAATATTTATGGAAAATATTGTGTTAGAGACTTAGCTCCTTAGCTATCATGAAAAATTACTTACTCAATCACACCGATATTGATTGAAAATTACAGACCAATATCTTTTTTGAACATAGATTTAAAGATACTATCATGTGTTTTGGCCCAACGTCTTAAAGTGGTATTACCAAAAATAATACATGAGGACGAAACAGGATATATCAAAGTTAGATTTATTGGCTTTAACGTAAGACAAATTCAAGACATAATTGATTAAGCGGATAATTATAAAATTGAAGAAAGTTTAATTTTTATTGATTTCGTGAAAGTATTTGATTTGATGTCCATGAATGGTCATTTACACTAGAAACTCTCAAATATTTCAACTTTAATTAATCATTCATAAAATGGGTAGAAACATTGTATCATAATACAAGCGTTTTCAATAATGGATGGATCTCTAAAAGGTTTAAAAATTCAAGAAGTGAGGTATCAGGCAAGGGTTCCCCTTGTGAGCTATCCTGTTCGTCGTCTTGGCTAAAATAATGGTAATAAAATCAAGAGAAAATAAAAGCATTAGAGGAATGCAGATAAAGCTTGACAACCAAACACATAATTATAAAATTACACAACTGGCTGATGACACAACTCTTTTTCTAGGATCTAAGGAAGAGATACCCTTAGCCATGAACAAAATTGGAATATTTGGATCATATTCAGGATTAAAACTTTATTGAAATAAAACAGAAGGTAAACGGATAGGTAAACTAAAAATCTGTAAAGGAAATATTAGTGGAATAAACTGGGTTTATATTTTGGACACGACCAACATGAATGTCAGAGGCTAAATTGAGAAAACAAAATAGAAAAAATTAAAATGGTAATCAACGGTTGGCAGAAACGAAAACTAACTATGATAGGGAAAATTTTAATTATAAAAACTATTATAAATACCAATATTCACGTTTTTGGCAAGCACCTGTGTCGTACCAAAAAATGATCTAAAGGAAATAGAAACATCTTGCTCTAAGATTTTGTGGAATAGTAAAAATGAGAAAATTAAGAGATCTACTTTAATTGGTAAATATGAAAATGGTGGAATAAATATGATTGACATTGAAAGCTATTTTAATTTGTTAAAAGCAATATGGGTCAAAATATTATTAGATCAAAATGTCACTAATTTAACGATTATACCATTAAAATTTTACAATAAAATAGGTAAAGATTTTTTCTAATTTTTCACATAAATTTAGACAGGATCACTTCTATCGCAAATATTGGGTCTACATCTGAATTCTATATATGCTGGGTGAAAACTAGACAAATTCGAAATTCAGAAACTCATATAAAGATTAGAAAACAAGTATTATCAGGTAATAAACGTATTACCAGTATAAAATTTAACAACAAAAGTCTAATTTATGAAAAATTGGATGTATAGTAATATAATTCATCTAGATGATATTCTTGATTGATGATAAAAACTAAATTTCACTACACATTATTATGAACAAACTACAAAACAAATCCAACTGGATATTCAAATCTCAAACAATCACAGCATGTATACCAAAAAAATAGTTAAAAATTAATTACACTGAAAGCACTTATAGTTATAAAAGTAAAATATATATACAAGATAGGTTGCCAGACAACGAAACATATGCCCACAGCTGCTAAATCGTACAAGCGGACAACAACATGTGTCGCAAATTTAATATTTTGTTGGTAATAAGGTGCATTTATAAGACAATTTCATACAGATTATAATTTTCGTCCTTTGAGGGTTCACAGATTATAATTTTTGTCCTTTGAGGGTTCACAAGGTGCTACAAACTGAAACAATGGCCTTAATTCTAGAAGTAATATACAAAAATTGTTGAAATTTGACAGCCTTTTTATCGTTTTACTAATCTGGATAATGCATATAAATTTGATACAGATCTGATGATGACTCTTGCTGTGTACAATGTTTAACAAAGTAAAACAAGGGCCGTAACCCTAGAAGCAATTGACAAAAATTGCTGAAATTCGATAACTTAAATGATGCACATAAATTTCATACAGATAAGATGATAACTTTTGTTGTAAGAGCACTCACTGGGTTCAACAAAGTGATACAAGGGGGGTAACTCGAGAAGAAATTGACTAAAATTGCTGAATTTCAATAAACTTCTTCATTTCAATCATTTAAATAAGGATTATAAGTTTCATACCGATCGTATGATAACTTATGCCGTTAGGGCATTCAAAAGGTTCAACAAAGTGAAACAAGGGCCATAACTCTAGCAATAATAAATGGAAATCCCCGAAATTCAATAGGATTCTTCATTTCAATAATTTAAATAATGCATATAAATTTCATACTGATAGGATGATAATTTTTGTCATTACAGTGATCACAAGGTGTAATAAAGTGAAACAAGGGTCATAACTACACAACAAATATTAAGTTAAAAACAATCAAATGATCAGTGTGGTCTGTAGACTATTCACAGGAAATTGTGGATGACGGACGGACAGATGGACATGGGGCAACGGCAATATACAACCACAACCAAATTTCCATGTGGGCGTATAATAAAATTTGTCTTACTATTCTGGGATATATTATGCTAATTACCATCAAAGTTACATATTGATAAACCAATAGCATTGTTACAAATACATGTACTATGATAAAAGTTACGATAAAGCATTTGTTAAACATCGTTTCATTTACGATACACAAAATTAACCACATATCTGACAGAAAAACTAAAAAAAATTGATGCCTTAAAAGCTTTACCGAAGAATTAAAATACAGGATATTATTTTAAAAAAACAAAGAAAACAGATTTATTAATAGAAATTAGAATTCTTATAAAATCATTTTCAAAATATAAAATTATTTATTAGCATTTTAACTGCCATAATGAATTTTATATATTTCTCCAGTGATGTATCTGATCTGTTATTATATTTGTCTGTAAACATTCAGTATATATTCCTACTGAACTGTATTGTATACAAATGGTTATTGTTAATAAAGTTTTAAAAAAAAAGATTATCAGATCAAGTTACTTTACCTGGATGTTCAATGCATGTAAATTTTTTAATGGCATCATAGCGATCTTTCTTGTTATTAGGTAGAACAACTAAAACCATCTGAGTATCTGCTGTTAAATTCTGTGTTAATGTAGTCAGGAATGTTTCATTACGATCATTATGAAGCTGACATCTGTAATGAAAAAAAAACATGCACTAATTACTTTTTCATCGCAAATGGATGAAATTTTTGATCCTATATGTTTATGGAAGTTTCGAATAAATATTTTAAAAAATCAAAAAGTCTTCGATGGTCGAATTGTTAGCCTACAGGAAGAATTTTGTGTATTTATGAAGGCTATCCAGTTATATGACCTAAATTGAGATAATATATACACCACCGAAAATAGGTATACAATTTCTGATGTGTATTTTAAGCCGTTAATTCTGTATCAATCATATAATCATATAAGTCAAAAACACCACATTCAGAGAGAGATATACAGAATTTTTAATTTTCGAGTACCGGTATTCATTAACAGTACCAAATTATTTATGAAATTTCAAATTTTAAAAATTCTAAAACTTGAAAAGTTTAGAATGAAAAAGACAGCAAAAACTTTAGAATGAAAAAAAAACCAGCAAAAACTTTAGAATGAAAAAAAAAAAAATAAAAATAGGGTTTACAATAAAATCGACAGCACACAAAGAGAAAATGAGCATGGATCTACCCCTAGGGGTTGGGCATGCGCCAAGACTCTTGGGGTATAAGGAATAAGTATGAAAAGTTTCAACAAGATCCATCAAGAAATGCGACCTGTAGGGATCATCCGTAGGGTATAAGGAATAAGCATACAAAGTTTCAAGACGATCTGTTAATAATTGCAGTCTGTAGGCGACAGACATCCACATCCAAACACACACACAGGTGAAGGTCATTTTTCCTCCAAATCAATCATAAAGCCTTTTGAGTATGTCCACAATTTCGGAGTGATCGTGATCAGCAGAATGTAGCTATAATGATGGTAATTTAAAGCGGCTATTCTTACGTAGTTGGGTTGTTCACTCTTATTCCCATTGGCTGGCTTAACTGTTGTAAAGATTTAACAAGGTCTTGAGTAGCAGCTCCATCTCTCTGTGTCGATATGGCCAACCAATTAGAAAGATTGACCGGTGTTAAAAGTCTCTTCTCTCTCAATGATTTACTCCAATCACATTCTTTTGGATCATAAGTTAACTACACACGAAAATAATAAAAACATAGGTAAAAAAAAAAACCCCAAAAAACCTAATTATACGAATAAAAGTTAAAGTATATTGAACTTTGCACAGTGTATCTGAAATATATCAACAGAAACACCTACAATTTTTATTTGTCCCCATTTCAGTGTGGGTGTATTATCACTGTAACCCAGGTATCGTTTAATCTTGTGTATCTAGCACTAATTTCTTTCACATTCGTTTAATATCAAATCTTTGTTTAAAAATTCGTAAAAATTGTTTAAAATCACCAAAAATCATCTAATTTGTACATGTGTCCAGTTTAAAGCTGACTGATTAATTTTGATAATGAGTGTCCAATTTACAAGTATTTAATTTTCTGTTCAAAAATTAATCATTATACATCATTAATCAATTGGGTTGTTTATTTTTTAACAATGTTGAGAAATTAAACACTTGTAAATTGGACACTCATTATCAAAATTGAATGGTCATCTTTAAACTGGACAGAAGTACAAATTAAACGATTTATGGTGATTTTAAACAGTTTTTACAAATTTTTAAACAAAGATTTGATATTAAACGAATGTGAAAGAAATTAGTGCTAGATACACAAGATTAAATGATACCTGGGTTACAGTGTATGTTGTCACCATGTCTGTCAGCTCGTCAACAATAGGCTTGTGAATGCGATAGAGGCTACAGTTTTTGATGAATTATTTTCAAATTTTGTGTGAAGCATTGTGGTCATGATAGGACAAATCTTACTTATTTTTAAGCATTCTGCATCTTTTCATAAAGGAGTTATGCCCACTATTTAGGAAACCTTATAGTTTTCGATGGTATGAAGCACTGAAGTCATTAGAGAATGTACCCTATCAATTTTCAGCGTTTCGTTACTTTCCGTTACAGAGCTATCCCCCCTTTGCCAGTATAGGCTACATTTTTCAAATTTAGTGTGAAGCATTGTGGTCTTGAGAGGACAAACCACATTGATATTCAGTGTTCTATAACTTTGCCGTTTGGAGTTTGCTGAAAAACCCTGCAAACGCAATCAAGGCGACATTTTTTTAACCAGCGTTTGCCATGCAAGATTGCTCGACATTTTGCAAGAGATAGACAGAGAATGAGGTAAAAAGAAAATGTAATATTTTGTACAGTAACAGTCCTATATGCAAGTATATTGGAAGGGACCGAGATATTTTGGATATAATTGTATATTTTAAGTTTCATCAAAATCGGATAAAAATTGTGACTTCTAGAGGGTCTACAACATTGGTATTACATACTCTTACACTATTGTAACCTCTAGCACTAAAAAAATGCTTTTTCGTACAATCAGGGAAGTTAAGGTTCAATATGCCCGAATATCAAAAGCAGTCGTGATCTTTGGGTTATAAAGATACACTTCAAATTTTAACAAAATCAGATAAAAAATTGTGACCTCTAGAGTGTCCACAAGCTAAATAAAAAGGGCCATAATTCACCTGACTCAATTAAAGAGCACTGGTAAGACAAACTCTTCTATAGAACAGCAAAGAAAGAAAGCAAAAGCAGATAATAATAATAATACTTACTGGTTGAGGATTCAATGCTGCTGATGTTGTTAGAACTTCTTGAGGTAAAACTCGACCTCGAATACTCAGTAAATTTGGTGAGAATCGTAATCCCCAGCCATTCATTTCTTCTTGTACTTTCTCATTACTTTAAAAAGAAAAGAAAAAAAGGGTAAAGATCAAAAGTTGAATGCTATCAAAAGTTGAATTCTACCTAAACAAAAACTAACCCGCTTTTTCTGTGAGATTCACAGGTTCACAAACTCACGTTTAGCAATATGCCAATACTATTTTTACTTTCACCAAGGTGAGCCCAAAGATTAATGTTAATAAAATTGAATAATTTGCTGGCGATATACTTTGTGTTCGCGTGTTTTAATTTGTGGGCGGGCCTGTCAAATCGGAAAAGCAAGCTGTTGATTCCAGTAATGTGACATCTTTTGCCAATTCTATACCAACACAAGACAACAAAACAATTCGGCAGAAACGCTTTTTGCAATGATGGTGGCAGAGCATAATTTGTCTTTCAAATTTGCTGACCATTTCACGAAGATGGCTGCAGTAATGTTTCCTGACAGCTAAGTAGCAAATGAATTCCAATGTGGTAGAACTAAAACTTTATGATAGTTATATAATAATGCTCTCTTGGCCCAAATTTTACAGTTGAATTTAATAAAATGTGCCAAGGTCCATCAAATTAGAGGTCACAACAAGAACATAGTAATTTTAGTAAAAGTAATTAAATGAAGCTCATGAATTCTCCTGCCACTTCATTGTTGGGCTCCCAGGATTTTTTAATTTTGGGGGTTGACACATCTGCCATGTGGACATTTTGGCACATGCCATCCCATGACACAAATATTCTATGCACACTAGAGTAAGCGTTGAAAACACAACCATACGGTAAAGATCAAGCTATCTGACCATCGTACCATTTTCTTTCCTATTGATGTTTCTATACTGCCATCATGTTCATGAAACATTTTTATTATTTAATCTAAATCAAACAGCAATAAATTACCATATGTACAAATGAAATAACTCAAAATTATTTCTAAGTGCTGTGTTTGGATACATTGTTTTCATCAATAGATACTATGGTACATAGAAAAGTACAACAAAAATATGTGAACTTAATTGAGAGGGGCATCAGATGTTCTAGAAGAGTGAACAATACCCTGCTTCATGTATGACACCTGTCACTTCTTATAGATAAATGGATTAATCGATTGAACCCAGATTCAGTAGACCAGTAGTTTAAATATAATTCTTTTTTGTAGTTTGAGGTTTTAGACATATATGGAATTGCATCCAAAGTAAACTTGAAAATTATTTCATGTCCTTGGGTCCTGGTGCTATATTAAGGAAAACTATATACAACCTTGGTTGAGAGTTCAATCTTAGTACAAATGATAGCTCTTGGCCAATGAAAGGGCGGTATTATTAGAATAGATATGATCAAGTTTTTTGTAAAATAGCTGCTGGACTTTACTATAATGTCTATATAGATATTGATGATCATGCTCCCCAAGACCAAAGAACTACTACACTCCCCTCCTGCACAAAGAACTACTACACTCCCCTCCTGCACATAGTTTTTATCTGAAGGATAAATTTAAATGAAACATACGTGTTAATTAAAGTTATAAATTCTTTCAGTTTCTGACATCTACCATTTGGAGCTACACGTGTATGTGTTGATAAATCTTTCATAACTTGGAAATCGGTTCGGATAGCATCAGAAATACCTACAAAATAACATATGATCAGAAATTTTATAGTTAGTAGTTTTAACATTATTAAAGGTTGTTCCATTGATGAGGCAAGACTACTTTTCTGCCATGATGCATGCTAAGAGGGAAATCCTTCCAGAGCCAGACAACGGCAATTTTGTCTACTCTTCATTATATTCCAGTTGTCAATAATTCTTTTACATGAATGCCAATGATAACAAAAGATGGACCTTTTTTTCCCCATCCCATCCACATGATTTGACACTTTGTTTTCTTAAATGGATCTCTGTCCTCTGTCCACTGACCTTAGGAATCCAGGGTGGGAAATTCCAAGGAACTTACTTGGCCAGTGCGTGCCATAGTTGCCATGTGTGAGTATAAAAATTAACAAGAACTACATATTGCATTACTATAAATAGTACCACTTACAATTATTAATGTCTTTCACATGCATTATTGTCTTAAAGCCTTAAAGCTAAGTCTCGCTCCTCCATTTTTAGCTTAAATCAAAATATGACTGAACTGTTCTAATCTATTTAATATTGGAGAAATCTGATGCCATTGAGAGTTGATTATGGCCTGGATAAGTTAATCAATGTCTAATTAATAATTTAGAAAACATTCCAGGCCCAAAGAAAGACCTGCAATAGGCAGATTTAGCTCTTGCATAATATAATGTATGTTTAATTAAAAATGAATTTTGAAAAACTGTCTAAAATGTTTAATTTATTTCAAATATTTTACATGTATCCATTTGTGGAGTTTATTTTAGTAAAAATCTTCAGTCAGGCTATTCAAACTCTGAGATTCTTGTGACGTCTGATGATGTAGATTAATAAATCAAATATCAATTTACCTGTTAAAATACAGAATTCCGGAAGAAAATAAAGATTTGTTTTCATTCCACGATTTAGATCTTTCTTTTTGGGTTTTGATACAAGTAAAGGTTGATCTGCATCCGTCACTGTTAATTCATAATTCTAAAATAACAACAATTAAAAAGGTAAACATATTGGGGGAAACCTGATAAAAAGTTCTGAAAAAGTATCAAATGATTGAGTACACACTAGAATTTCTGGGGACACCATCAACAAGGCATGTATAAACTGAATAGAATTAATACCTCGATCAATCACAAAAGTTGATATAATGAAAGCAAACTTTAATTTAGCATGGTGTTAAAGGGACAATAACACTCTTGCTGGCTTGACAGCTCCAGAAAATAAAAAATGGCCTTATTCTAAATACTAGATGTGTTAGTGTCCTACCTGTTGTGTAAATTATCCATTAAATCCTATTTTACTTGTGCAAAGGGTTCAAAAATATTTTTAAACCCAAGTCACATTTGAAAAGCTTTACGTCAGGCTTTTCAAATCATTTAGTTGAATTTTTCCAATTTTTTAAATTAGGTGTGTTAAGATGAAATTTGTATCATCAATTAATTGGAATATTGTAAAATAGTACAATTTGTTGACCAGAATAAAGATTGGGACATATTATTCAGTTACAACAAGAGTGGTATTGAGCCTTTAATAGTATGTGTTGCCATTATCATCTATCTAGATCATAATAAAAAATCCCCAGTAACAAACTTAACAAGACTGTGTGTATATAAAAAGGATTTATCCAGGACGCGTTTTGGGAGTTTGTCCATTATCAACTGGTTACCGGGTATATACTGGTATATATAGACAATAGAATTATTGCACATGCCCATAACATTGAGGATTATTAATCCCTATACTGGGATTATAAAAATAAAAATGATAAATATGAATAAAATGGATGTACAGACAAAATTTAATTATTTTAAAAATACAAAATTTAATCATCTATCTAGGTTGACCAGCTCTTTTAAATCCAAATGTTGAAGATTTGCTCATAATGCGTAACAGTTCTAGCTACTGTGATAATAATTTATATGAATTGTACCTTTTTATAATAATCGATATAAGATATTTCATCACCATTCTGTAATTTAAATTTATCTGTTGGCCTCATGTCCCAGTCAATATCATCTACTCTATAAGTCTTATTATTATATCTGAAATAAAAAAAGCCAAAAGTGAGGATGATGTGCACTGTCTTAATCATAAAATAAATAGTTTACACTCATTAATTACTCCGACATATCTCTTTTTATAAAGTAATCAACAGGCATCTGCAGTAACATTTTATGGAACTTTTTATGGTACTTCAGTTTCTTCCCACAAGAAAGACCCTTGCATGTGGGCTAAGCATAATAAAAAGAAGGTCAAGTTGTCTGCGATATCACCCTTAAAAACTAATAGGGCTTTTAATAAATCAGAATTTACTTTATTTTTGGTTGAATAAAATGAAATGAAATGGGGTACAACATTCTACTTTTCTGCATCAACTTGGCTAATGAAGATGGGTATTGGTTTTAAAGAAAGCTTATCTAAGTTTTAACTTTTTATTCTTACAGTCTTCGTTTTTGCCAACATTTTAAATAGAACAGCATATCACATTTTAAAAACGGTCTCTACATGTGATGTGTAAGTGGAGGTAATTCACTCCGATAACAGTCTAGTCTTTAAAGAAATTTTGGTATGAAGGATGATTCTAACTTTTTTCAACACGTTTTAAAAACATTCTTGACATGCAGATGTGGACATGTATGTATGTGTGAGCGGATATAATTGCCTCCATTTACAATCTAGTCTTTTACGACTCTTGAGCGTGATTGTATCTTTTTTAAAAATTAAACATTTACCTTGTGAGTACAACAGAACCAACAAGCGCTTTAAAGGCTCTATCAAAAAAACTCATTTTAGATCTTTTATCATTTGACATATCATACATAATATCTAATACTGTGTTTGTACGTAGTACTTTATGCGTAATGTCGGCACCAAGCAGAATATTTTTTTCATATTGCAAAACACTGGTAGAAAATCCTGGTATTACACTTAATCTGAAAATAAAATACAACATTATTTAAAAAGAAATGAACTGGGCTAATGAAGACGGTCATATGCCATACAGTGTGCTATGAGGGAAATCTAAATGAACTTTCTTGGCCAATGCAGGGATCAAACACCCAACCTCCAGGCTAGCGAGCCAGTGTCTTACCCACTTAGCCACCGTAATCCCCTTATTTAAAAAGAGCCATTCTAGATGTATTCTAGTAAATAAATGTGGTTAATCTAGTGCCGTGCCATGCAGAATTTTGGTAATGCCCAGGGCCAATTCTTTGATTTTATTCCCTAAAGACTCAATTAAATACAAGTATTGGGCCTAGCACTGTGAAACGAGAGGCCATTTTCAATATGTAAAAAGAAATGAAATAATAAATAATATTCAAATTAAATATAAATCTGACACATAATTAAGTTTGGTATCCCAAATGAGATCAAAACACTGATCTACATTCAAGTCTGCTTATTGAACTGCAGGACAGAGTTGTAAAACGAAATTAACATCAATAAATTTCACTCTTCGATTGGATGCTCCTTGGAATGGATACCTGGGGTTGACGTCCTATCTCAGCATGCGGCTGATTTAGTGTGCAAAAGCCATTTACCCTATTACTGTTGTTCAACCATCTGATTTGACAAAATATACTCAGTATGTTTATGTGGTTAATGATTTTGAATTAATGGCCTGAACAATGCATTCAAAGTTTAAGCAAACCAGATGACATAATTTGATGCTACAGAGTTCAAAAGTCGCTAGAAAGTGAACAAGGGCAAAACAGACTGTTTTTTTCAGAAATTCATCAGGCTTTTTCATCTTACGAATGCTATCACTATACTATATATAGATTATTAAGAGATTGGTTGGTATGTAGTTGCTGCTTTTTTTAAAAGTGAAATTGAGGGTGAGCTGGGTGATCACCAATTGGATCAACATAAAGGCGAGGTAAATATGCAAAATACTGGTATATAAAAAAAGCATACCAATTTAACTAATTATAAGTCTCTATGTAAAGTATTGTGGATGGCCTGAACAGTATATGGACAGTGTCAGCAACAACATAATGGCTAAATTCTACTTTATCACCCAATAATCCATTCTACAGTCGATATCTCTTGTGTGATATATTTCATAATCTACTGCGATATCTCCTTAGGAGATATCGCTTTACATGAATTTGATTGATCAGTTGAAAAGGAACTACTTTTTTTTAATTTTCAAAGAACAGTTCATTTCTTATTAAAAGTAACTTTTTTTTATTAAAAATGAACTATTGTTATTTAATTGACCTTGATGGAAACACTGGGTCAATATAAAGGACTTTGCAACGGTTGAATTGCTGTCAAAAAATGATGTATCACTACGCCGTAATGTTCAGTAAAAGTGAAATCTACAGCAAAGAATTATATTTATCTATTTGTGCATGTAAGAAGGGATTGGGTGATAAATAAAATCTCCTACTCGTCTTTTTTGAAATCAAAAAATATCAACACTTGTTGATAAAGTAAAAAAAAAAACTCAGCAGAGCCTCGTTTTTTGTTACTTTATCAACTTGTGTTGATATTTTTTGATTTCAAAAAAGACTGGTAGAAGATTCTCTATATGCGTAATTGATCAATCTTAGTAAGTGTAATTGATAACATGTACTTACTTATGCTGTGGAATATCTACTTTCAAACTAAAATTAAAATTATGACGACCAATTTCTGTCATACCAATAAATCCCAGTGTCCTATAAAAACAAAATGTTATAGACAGTATTAACATAATATTTGTGAAAAGAAATTAAGACATTCAATGTGAGTAAAAAGTGGGAAATGTCTTTAAGGGGAGCTTAATTTGGTAAGTCAGGCCCCAAGTTCACAAAGCATTCTCAGACTTAAGTTAAGAATTTACTCAACTTTCAATCACTGTTTATGAGAAATATCTTTGATCCAGAAACAAAACACTTTGCACATAGTTCCTTATTGATGTATTTGATACCTTAAAACAACAAAAGTTTTATCAAGGGCTATATTTTAGTTAAAATAAGGCAAACAATTTTGAGTAAATTCTTAACTTAAAGTAGCTATAAGTCTCTAACTCATTATCATCCAAAATCTTCAACATTGAAAACACGATTTATTTGTCAAATTAAATCAACATTCATGTTGTGATCTTACCGGAAAAAGATGGGCTTTTGATATCCAATATTTAAGACAAAATAAACATTTTACCATTGGTACACGAATCGTGTACCATAATGCGCTTCAGCCCCAGTTGTATCAAGAGACTCGAGGGACGAGGCTAGACACATTGCACCAAATCAAACGGCGGATGTAGACTGGAATAACCACACGCTAGAAATTTGCACTCGCTTGAGACTGCTGACTCATTTCACCGAACATAACTGATTTGAAATTGGAGTAAAAACGGAAACCATTGAATGTAAATCAGTTTATATACATTCATATTACAGTATTATATGCGTTGCGATCAACTTTTGTCAATTTCTAGATCCCAAATGTTAGCGATTTAGCTCCTTTAAGTCTGAAAATGCTTTGTGAACTCGGGGCCTGTATGTATATCTGGTGGTTTATAAGTCCCGGACACGTTTCAATAATTTGTAAAGAACAAATTAAGGCATTCAATATGAGTGATCAATAATGAAAAGTGGGAAAGTTAATCGCTTGTACATAAAACAAGCCAACAGTGAGGCTGATGTCCACCGTCAAAATCCCAAAATAAATAGATGACACATATTGATTAATGTGGAATAATACTTTATTTATCGGTTCTTACCAGAATTAAATGCCTAATTTGCTCCCACCCCACCCTGTTAATATTCTAATAATATTTAAATGTTTTTACACTTTTTACTTCAAAAGTGTATAAGGAGATTTTAAACCCTGTAATTCATTATTTTTATTTTTTTATTATCAGTTTATTAGAGAATAAAATTGATATAATTTCTAATGAAAGGTTAAAATAGCCAGATTACATAATTAATCTATGGACATTTATTTCATCTCATTCCTCCTGTATTGTACTATTGTACTACCAGAATGACTATGTAAATTAATGTCATATTATGTATTTTATACTTTATAACCTTTTGTTGTATGTTACCTGATATTATTTATAATTCATTGTCATGGAAATCTATTATTATATGAATGCATATATATATACATGTACATTATTAATATCTAAAAAAAGCCCATTGATGGCAGACAGCTACCTTAAGTTATGAATAAATGTGTGTTAGAATAAAGTAATAAATGCATTTTTTATTTATTTATATATTATCTACCACAAACATGGAAGTACATGTACTTGTACTTTTTCTACTTTAATATATAATATAATATATCCAAAAATATTAGCACAACTGTAAAGCTGCACAACTTTGTTTCACGGTAAACAATGAAAAGATAACAGGAGTCCCGACACAAATTGATTTCAACACTGGCTTAATAACATTTTAAAGTAAATTTCAAGGTCTTGGGTCTTGGGAGTATTCATAAATAATGTCATTGCATAGAGATGGACATTATCATATATTTATACATATTTACATAGTAAAACTGTGGTTGTTTTAATTGGCTATAATTACCATTGTCTATATATAGTATACAGGTAGATAACAGAAAACATGTACACCTGTGTTAATCTGTTTCATATGGGTACAATTTAGGAACAATGAGTGGAAGATATTCCTGGGATACATTTAAGAAAATTAATGGCCAATTGTTACTTATTGATTATTTTTTAATAAAATGGTTTTCCATTAATTTTCTTTTCGTGATGTCATCGGCTTTCATTTTATAAAAAATATTGTGCACGATATGTCTATTTACAAATAAGGGCCCATTTTCAATATTACAATCCCGTTAATGGTTGTGAACTCTATCCCGTAGATGTGTGCCCTGTCTCCCCGATGTAAAAATTTTGACAACCATTGCAATGCAAGTCAAGACATATATGAAATTTTTTGAGTCACAATATTCATATTGTCGTTGACAATAAAAGTAAAGTTGTAAAATTATATTTGTTATTTGGGGTAATATGGTCCCAACATTTACATCAAAGATCTGGACATTTAGATAATATATTCCACTTAAGATAATATAGTAGTATAGAAACTATATAACAGGAAATACTTTTAAAAGTGGGTTAATTTGACATGACTGTGTGCAACATAGATAATACTGTATGATTAACCAACCATGAATTGTCTACAAGAGCAATCATAGGGATACATGTAAAATTCAAATTGAAAGACATGGGATTGTGTGGTTAAAAGTTCAACAAATGTCTGTTGTTAACATATTTTTAAATTTAGCCTATAGCTAGAGTGATGATACAAATGAATATTAGAAGGAATAACAATAATATAAATTATAAATAAACCATTTTTTTAATAATAATTATGTGTACATATAAACACCAATATCATGCAAATTGTGAATAAAATTTTAAAAAATAAACAAGAAACATACAATTTGTGAACAATGCTCTTCTAAAATATTAGTATACATGCATATTTCTGTCTCTATTAAATTGTGATATTGTAATTATAATAACTTTCTGATCTCGATTCACCTTGTCTTTTTATGTCATTATTAGAGTTATATATTGGTTCATTGCAATTTAGGAACAAATTAATATCATTAGAGCTATAAAGCAGATTTGCGTGTTTACTTGAGAATGATTTGAAGTCAGTATTCAAAGTTCAAAATACAAACAGGTCCTGTAAAACTTTAGGAGTCAAAAATACAACATTGTTGGGTAAAAGGCCAACAAAGAAATATGTGTGTGTGTTTGGGTTTACTCTTTACTGTTACCCAAAAAACTCAAATTTTTAGCCCGAAATCGCAGACCCTAAACCCTTTTTCACAAGTTCCTAGGTCTCTTAAATTTGTTTTGATGTGATGTCTGCAGACAAATTCCAAAGTTCAAAATGTAACAATAATTGGCCATGCAAAAAAAATAATCCGATTATCAGACAATCCTTAGCAAAAATCTGATGCAGGAGGGAGGTTTTTATTTTGTCAAAGGATCGCTACTGGGCTAAATGACTTCTCATTAACATCAGATTTCAAGGCACTACATTTATCTCATTATGTTGTTTATAGAAATGTATGATTATCCAGTATAATTTATGATTTTCAGTAATATTGTCCAGGCTTGTGCACTTGATAAATGAACCTATGTCATATTGCTAGATTCTTTCAAATTTTATTATAGAGCTACTTCCTGTAATGGGGTAAACATCTACTTGCACTAATTAATGAGGCAGTTTTTGTTTCTAAAAATAAAAAGGGTCTGACAGCCCATTTTTGTGATACATGATTATCTGAGAAACTGAATACTTTTTTAATATGGCCTTATGTATAAATGTATTAACTGCAGTGTAAACTAATGGTGTTATCAGTTATTTACCTGTGTTGAATTACCTGGACTGGACATAATTTAAATATAAATACATCATAAATGAAATGAAATGAATTAGGGTTTACCATCCCACTGTTCTGCTCCGACTGGGATAGTGAAGACGGGAATACACCATACAGTGTGCTATGAGGGAAATTTTGCCCGGGCAGTGGCACTATGGCTTACTCTTATATCGAATTCCATTTGCCAAGGGATCTTTTACGAGCATGCCCATGTATACACGGGACCTCAATTTTCATTCCATCCGAACGACTTGACAGCTGTCCTTGTCCACAATATATTGATATTTTAACTTACCAAATTCAACATGCAGTGTTATCTAATATATTTGACATACATGTACATCCTGTCAGTTAAATGATATAATATAATAACAGTTCATATTATAAAAGTTCAGTATTGACCTCAATACAATAATATTTAACAATCTTCACAAACCACTATTCCAAGTGTTTTATTGAATAGAGTCAATCCTTTTCACGCTTTCAACTCCTATCTTTGAAATCAAACTCATTTATGTTAGCTACGCCACAGGGAAACAGACATAATATATAATCTAATTTCTTGTCAAATTAGGTTCATTTGTGAGTGGATATTCTGATTTTTTTAACATGGGAGAAATATATATAATTTTCCGAGGCATATTTTCATAGGCTTACGGGGTTGATGACTGTTAGGGGGACAGAATCCGAAATTTAGGTGGCTGACTTGCATTCCATCAACGAATCAATCATTTTAGTCCACGGGGTTGGGATTGTAGGGAGAAAATTTAGAAAATTTAATTGCAACAAACACATTTTCGTGCTATTCCCACCCGTGAATACAACAACTTCAATGTGGTCCAATATAGCCTACCTTAGGTGGCTGACCTGAATCCCAAACAGCCAAATCAATCGTCGCGGGGTGTGGGTGTGGGGGTCTCACTTCCCGGAAAATTTTTGAAAATTTAACCACTGCTTCAATGTTGTCTAATGGTTTTGTAACCGAAATCCCACTCTATGCCATCCAATCAGACTGTTGCAAATGCATTCACAAATAATACTTGATGCCCGAAAAATGTCGCACAAATTAGAGTGGCTTCAGACGAAATGTCTTAAACCATATTCAATTCAGTATAAACTCCTGGTACTCAATTATTGTACCATCCAAACAATTAGGTACACTTCATTATCAACCTCGCGGCTGCCATTCCTTTTATTGAATACCGAACTTAAAATTTTTTATGGTTTTTCTCAGCCTACGTCGAGTATGGATACATGTGGACATTTAAGTCAAGGGTTCAGTGGAATGATTGCCTCCCCACCCCCTCAAAATTACAGAATTTAGCACGCATGGCATTCTACAAAAGAAAAGAATACAAAATAGGCATTTTGTTTCTGCTCCCTCCAGAAAAATGTGTGTATTTCTGAAGAATAAGATGTTTCTTATATGCCTGTTTTAATAATTATTCTGCCATTTTTATTTGAGATCTGTGTAGTCACACAAGTTCAATAAAGTTGTATAGGATATGTTGTAAAACACTAGGATCCTTAGCCTCAAATATACCACAAATAAGTCATTCATTTTCATAAGGTCAGTGATGGGCTGGTTCTTACTGTCACAAATTTACAGATATGTGATGAGGTCAGAGGGTAGTGAATAGTAAGTAGCAAGTCTACATCAGGGTAAGAGAATGAATGTCACATGCTGAGAAAATCAGCTTGATTCATTGTAGATAATGTAAATGACACTTACTTCCGGTGTATAATATTAACTATCTGAAGAAACTGAGGGCTTGAAGGTGGTAATTCATTTGTCAGTGTTATGGTAATACGAACTTTGGTTTCATCACTTCTTTTCAAACTAAATACCTCGGTTACCTAAAACAGAAATGGAGGGAGAAACGGGGTTGAACATCCACTTGACACAAACCAGGTCATTTTTAGACTAACATATGGCAGAATTTTATTTCAATAATTCACTTGTGCATAAGTGTCTTTATAATTAGCAGTTGGAGGAAACTGAAGGAACAAGAGATAACACAAAAGGCTAGGTTGGCGACCCTACTCCTTGTCACATACAAGTGGGGATTGAAACCACACCACTTGACTCATTGGTGGACCTTAAAGAGAGAGAGAGAGAGATGGGGTTTAACGTCCACTCGACACAAACTAGGTCATTTCGGGACTAACATATGGTTTAATTTTATTTCAATAATTCGCTTGCGCGTAGGGGTCTTTAGCAGTGGGAGGAAACCGGATGACCCGGAGAAAACCCACGAGGTTGGACAGGCGACCCTACTACTTGTCACGTACATGTACAACCGAGGATTCAAAACCACGCCAGTTGACTCAATGACAGGCCTTATGATACAGCGCGCACATGCTAACCATTCGGCCATCCAACCCCCCCGGCGGACCATAAAAAGAGAAATAGCCGGCATAGCTCCATACATTTTACATATTAAATTTTTACAATATTCCGTTTTAGAAAATGCAGAGTAAAGTAAATAGATATTTTTACCTTCTCCGGTAATTTTTTAGGGAGATACAAAATTCCGCCATCAAAAGCTCTCACGGTTCCGAGTAAATCTGAATGTGTATAGAGCAAGCCGCACTTCATACTTTTACTTTCAACAACAGGATTAAAGTCTACTTGATATTGATACAAAGCCAAGAACTGCGCTGTTACTTCTAATTGGAAATAGTTGGCTACCAAGTCAACACCCCGTCCATCTTTACCTAAATGAACATAACAAAAAAAAACGACACACATTAAAGGCCCAGCATGACTAAAGGTTAAGCATAAAGTTTGGGACTACACACAATCAAAAGTACAATCAAATTGATGAATTTTAGAAGTCATGCCATTTTACGTATACACTGGATTCTATTAATGTTTCAAATTGTCCCCTTTATCTATCTTTTTTAAGACAAATATAGTACAGTAACTAATCTTTTTGTGCTATTTTTCATACAAGCCAGCTCATTCTCCATATGAAGAGAGAGAGAGAGAGAGAGAGAGAGAGAGAGAGAGAGGGTTTATGTCACTTGACACAAGCTAGGTCATTTCGGGACTAAAATATGGTTCAATTTTATTTCAATGATTCGATGGGGTCTTTAGCAGTGGGACGACGTTGGCCAAACAACCCTTCTCCTTGTCACGTACAACCGGGGAATCGAAACCAAGCTAGTTGACTCAATGACAGACTTTATGATACAGGATGCACATGCTAACCATTCGGCCATCCAACCCCCTATGACTATAAAACATGTGGGCGAGAGTATATAAGGCATCCATATACTAATGATAATCTAGGCAGCTTTTACACTACTTTACATATAAACAGTGTGCAGTTGACATTTAATTTATGTTACTGGATCATATAAACCATTTATAAATAAATTAACCCCTTTTCTAACAAGGGCTTGTCTTTTCATATAAACAACATATTAAGATAGCCTGCAGGGAGGCAGAGTAAAATAGCTTGGTTTAATATGAACAGTTCAGTTAGCAAGCTCCAATACCAGGGCTAAACCTTAATATATATTAATGTACAGTACCTTGTTTGACCGTGATGTGTTCTGGTTTGGTTTTTAAATCTTGGTAACGGTAATCAGCTCTTTTTCTGGGAGCCTGAGCCACTGGCCTGGCCCCTCTTCCACTACCACCTCTTCCGCCTCTTCCTCCTCCTCGACCACCACCCCTTTCTCCTAATGACATCTGACCCATCTGTTCGACTGGTACTTTAGGTATAGCACCTGTATTTTTCTGACTTGGTTCCCGTGTTCCGCCTCTGTAAGCTGCACGACCCACAGAAGGTTGATGCCCAACAGCACCATCTGATTGATCCCGCTGTTGTCGACCTTCACCACCATATGGTTGCCGTCCTCCACCCCCCGGTCGGCCATCTACACCATGTGGTTGGGACGGATGTTGCTCACGCTGCTAAAATTATATTTTGATAAATTATAACACGTATCTTTTTCTCATCCTTTGATAATCAAATTATTTTGTTTGTTGATTGTGTTACATATAAACTGCAATAATTTCTCTTTTTTGATTTTAAAATCAAATTCAGAATATTAGGGATACAGTTATTTATGGACATCAGTCTTAATGAAAAAGCTAGTTTAATTTTGACACATTTCACAGAAACATATCAGTACTGCTTTTACACAGTTCTACTTTTAATTAACGATGCAGCGGAGGACAAAAATGACAGATCGCCCTGTCCGATACCTTTCCAACTATGAGTAACTGGGAGGCTTTTTCTGAAGGAGTTTATCCTTTCCTCGAACTAGAGGCCTGTACAGTTTTTCGAACATTGAATCGCGATGATTTGGCAGATTCAAATCTCAGTAAAGAACACTGGGTATTTTTACAACGTTTCAATCAAGAAACGCAAAAACAACTCCTTGAAGAATTCAAAAAAGACTTCCCAAGCACCACTTTTCAAAGTATGTGAAATAGTAGCATAATTCTTGGCATAACTCAGGGCAGGGAATGAAAATCTGGACGAGTTCCCAATTTATTTAGCTGTGGTACCCCCATAGCAAAAACTAATAAAAAATTAGCACATACATCCCTATAACCTAATAGTGTTATTTCAAAGCCCTCATTAGTTTATAAAAATTTTCAACAAATGTCAAAAGGGTTTGGAGTCTAGAGTCTATGCAAATATGCATAACCACGACGGCAACTTTCTTAGCCAAACTTTTTTGCACACTTTTTCGAATAATCGACTCCGGTGTTAAAGATCGACTCCTGTCCATTTGTGACATCACATGTGCTCCGGTCCCCACCGACTATATATAGAGGGCAACCGCACATCCTCAATCAAGCCTGAAGAGTTCGAACAGAACAAAACTAGTGGCTTCGTGAGATAAATCTGGAAAGATTTTTGTCTAGTATCATAAAAACAGTAGAAATGACAATCAATATGTTCCCTTTTCATTATCTACATGTATTATGTAACTATTATAGTGAGAACTGTCAGCTCTTTATCTAAATGTTACATAAATGCATGTTTAATATTAAAGCAGCTTAGTCACTAATTCAATATTTTTCATAATATTCGAAATTAAAAACACGAATAAGAATTCGATATTGATCAATTTCAATCAATATTGATGTTGTAATCTTGCCGTGAAACTATATGATCCTAATATCCAATATTTAAGACACAATTAACATTTTATAATAATTAAAAACATATCCTACAACACAATGTAGAAGTAATTAGTAAAGGCTGATTCACCAACGACAAAAGAATAATTTAAACAACTTGTACAATGCATCAAGCAGGCGTAATTGACTGCCATTCAATTTGAACTGTTCGCATATTTCACCGAACATAATTGATTAGAAATTACAATACTGTTTTCAAAAGTTGAATGTAAATCGCTTTACATACATTCATATTACATTAATATGTACCTTTAGAATCATTTTTGTCTATTTCAGGGATCCAAAAAATAAAGCCATACTCCCTTTAATCCCTTTTTCGATTAATCTTTACAAAATTGATCTTGTTGAAATTTATTCATATAACTAATCCTCTATGTAATCATAGAAGGACCTCACATTTTTTTTCTAATCTTTCTGTATCTGATGAAGGTTGACTAAGATCAAAACTTTATCATTAAAAACTATTTTATCAACATAGGCTAGCCTCTGTTCTTCTTGGGTTAGGCCTAGGGGATCATTTATTTATTTGTTCCAGATAAGTTAATAACAGCAGTCTATATGTTGTAACATAATATGTTAAATATCAATATCTTTATTTCAACATCTTTATTGACCTGTTTAATTTTACTAGCAGGCAAATGTAAACAATAGATGTATGAAAATATACTGGTACAGTACCTGTCCCTGGTCACCTGGCCTTCTATCACCTGGTCTATCAACTTCAGCTGGTTGTTGTTGTTGCTGTTGTTGTCGTCCTCTTGCTCTACCCCGTGCACGCCCATCCATGATGAGGTTCAGCAATCAAACCTATTGAAAACAATAAATATTAGCAAAGACAACTCCAATAAAGCTATGTATTGGATTCACGATTGTTTCATTATTTGTTGACAGCATGTGTTTTACACGTCTAATGTAGTACTTGACGTTGTGTTATCTTCCTTGATCAAAGTTACAACAACAGTTCAGGTTCTATTTTTTTATACCATTTTTCATTGTAGCAATTTTAGAAGCAAATGTAAGTCACAAATCTTCCTCGCTGTCTATAAAAAAATATACGGCTTCAGTGATGGCTGCTATGACAGGCAGCGTGAGTTCTGCTGAATTCTGATTCTGCACCCTCTTTTAGACAGGGGGGGGGGGGGGAATTCATTACCTTATTTGCAATTGGTCCACCAAATATATTTCACAACTATTAGTACAGTTTTATAAACAAAAGAGAATTTGATGGATATTTTGACAATAGAAAGGATGTACATGTAGGACTGGTAATGTTTATCTAATTTAACTCAAATTTATGTAACAAGTTATCACTCATTTTAGTTTGCCTACGTGGAGTGTGGTAGCAATAACTGATATAAATATAATGAATGTGGGGACTCTTCGGGACTAAATCTTATGAAATTGTATAGCCACTGGTTGCAAAATTTCTTAAGTGTCAAGGACATAAAATGTATGCAGAGACAATATTATTACACAAATAGCACTGATAGGCTGAGCATTATGTTACTTGTAGTGTAGAGTTCACTCACTCAATAAGAGAATTATTATTAATGTTATTATAACATGAAGTATACTTGAATATAAAGCTCTGCTCTGATGTGAAAACTCATATATATAGTAAAAGTTTTCACATCAGAGCAGAGCTTTATATTCAAGTATATATACTTCATGTTATAATTTCATAAATTATACTTTTATCTTTTCGGCTAAAACCCAGTACGTGTCCAATTTTCCGTTTTTTTTATGTTATATACAGTTTGGAAACAACTTACAGTCCATTTCTCGTATTCAACATTTGTATTAATAACCTCTACTATGACCACACAAATTTTAAGTCAGTATATAATTATCTTCCTTGTTGAGTTACAGCAATAAACATGTCCCAAGAATAGTCATTTTTTTGTGTTATGCTGTCTTACATTTACTTCAATAAATTGTATTTTGAAACTCAATAATCTTCTGTCTCTTTTTTGGATAAATGCATGCTTATAAAGCATTTCCTATAATAAATTTGGGTAGTTGAAACATACAAATAGACAGTGTATTAAAGAGGTTATGTCTAAATTACAAAAACATGTGTTTCTGTCAAATTTTCATGTGCATGAAAAACACTGAAAAAATGCAATATAAATGTGATCTTCAGTAATATTATACTTTTAAATGTACCCGTATGTGCAATTTTAAAATCTAAAATGTTTTTTTATTCATTTTTATTTGAAGTTGATTTTGCGTCCGTAAACATAAAGTGACCATACAGTGACCCATACTTAAAAATTTGTAACAGCTGCTGAAGCGAAAATTTATAAATTGTAATGACCAAAATATTGAACTATTAATACTTAGAATTAATTGCAAGGCAATTTATTTTTTCACCCTGATGAGACACTTTGGTCACAAATACTGTGTTTAGGCCGTTTTGTGTATAAAATCTGCATGTTATGAACTAGATAAGAAATCTCATATCTCTCAACCCTCCATGTTTCGAGATAAGAGATGGGGCTATATACTTTCAACTGGCAAAGCCCCAACACCAATCACATCGGGCTTCAAATAAGCAAAATTTACAATTTTTTCTTCAAACAACAATTGATTATGGTTATTTATAACATTTCTGCCACATCCAACTACAATTAGGCAGAATATCCTACCTGACATGGGTACAATTCCCCTTAACAGATTGCTTTCTCCGACATTTTAAAATTGACTTCTTTAACAAATAAAGGCCTTATCGGAGTTGCACAGGAGTAATACACCTTATTTATGAATGTCCATATCAATTTTGATACAAAAAACAATGCTTGATTTACTTTGTCAATATTTGCTGATAAATGAAAGTTGTTTCAGTAGATTGGGCTGCGTATGTGTAATAAGTTCTAATAGTATAAAACTAACTTGTTTTTTTAAGATGTTACATGCATTAATAAAGAAATTATTAAAGTTTGCCAGGTGAAACTAAAGGCACCAAACTGTAGCTAAAACAAGCACATCAGTATATCAGTATATCGAGCAATTTTTCTTATTGTATAATATATGTTTGCTTATTCTCCTATGTTGTATGGTGACTTATTGTATGCCAGGTTTATTTCCGTTCATGCTGGTTCGATGGATTTCGAGAAATTTTTTTGGAGATATGTTATTAAAGAAATGATTTTGGAGAAATGTTTTGCATGATTTGTATTTGGAGATTTTTATTTAGAAATTTATTGTTCCAGATTTGTTTTTCGTTGTATTTCTCTGATGAAATGTAAATGTAGGCTAATTTTTGATTTTCTAAAATAAATTTTATCTTTATATTAAAATACAATTTAAATATATTTTACAAATCTGATATGACCAATGTCTGATTTGTAAAACAAATATCGATTTTAAGATACAAATGTTAATTTTAGTGTACAAATGTTGAAATATGACAACAAATAAAAAAAATAAGACTGAAGGCCTATGAATTAAGAAATAAGGACTAAGAACACTGAATAGAGAGCTGTTTGGTCTTTCATAGGTGTTAGCACACAGTGGGACAGTCAGTCGTTGTTGTTTGTATTTCAGGAGAGCCAAAAAAAGCTCCCCCCAGTCAACAAATTGAAAAAAATCTCTCCCCTAAAAAAGCTCTCCCAGTTTTGATAAAAAGAGTGATTTAGAAATTAAGGAGAATGATCTGATATTAAGGAGAGTGATTAGTTGTGTGTCTGGGAAATGGTTCTGAAAATCAAAAACTGCATGTAATGGGGGCATTCCTGGTTTCATAAATGATAACAAACCCCCAATGACTTTTTAAAGGAGAGCGATTTTCGATTTTAAGGGGAGGGGAATAAACCTCCCCTCGGTTGACATTCAGGTGAGTGGCAGGCACTCGAGAGTGATTGCTCGCCTTAAAAAAACAATGACGGGACAGTTTGATGTCATGCCCCATTGGGTGTTGAACATAAATGTCTCAAATGCAGGCCTTCCCCACTGTCCCGGCCACTCTAACCCATCAATTTTATAACTCTGTTGTCACTTGCTAGGTCCCCTGTAGTGCATCCGGGGGGAGACTGGTGTTTATAACACAATGAACTTGTTCGGCCAATGAAGTCCTAAATTGAACACAGTATATCCAGTTGAGTGAGCAAACGTCCAACCCACTGAAATGAAATTTGAGGTACGGTACATCATATGTGAATTCTATCTCAAAAAAGTCTTCAACACAAATTATCCAAATTTGGGGGTTTTATCCATGTTGCAGACCCCATATCAAAACAAATAAGTTATGTAGCCCAAAATTAAAAATTCCAATAGATAGTTTATAATGGCCGGAACAATATTTCCTGAAAATTTGATGCCAATATCTGCAATAGTCACTTTTTTTGCATAGATTTTAAAAAATAGTGTATACTGACATCTGGGGTCTTAAAAGTGCAATAACTTTTTTATTTGAAATTTTTCGGGGGTTTCTTAAATGCTAGTAAATATTCAGTTTTAGTCAGATTCAAAAATATAAAAAAGCTACATCTTCATACAGTCACGCTTTTTTGTTTCGCCATGGACCTTATAATACACTTAGAAGATAAACACGTCTTGGGTCCTAATGATCTTAAGACATGTCTATATTGATAAGTTTGTAAATAGTATTGTACGATGGCTCAATAGGCCATTAATATTTCGATATTGAACCCTTTCTATAGAAATAAATATATAATTGGCAAAAGTTATACAATCGTAATGTGCTCAACAACCCTTGTTTTACTTATGAATATTAATCTCCCCAGGAAAAAGTTCCAAAATCATTTAATTGGTTAACATCAAATTGGTCAATGTCAAAGTATGAGTAAAATAATGTAAGATATTTTATACCCTGGCTTAGACAAGCTGCTGTAGATATTACATCTAATTAATAAGCTTATTATTACATTATGTAATATTTGAATCAAATTTTTTTTATTATATTAAATTGTTATTAAATTTGTTTGTTTCTATGTTTAATTTGATTAGTTATTCTTATTCTCCTATTCAAATCTCATAGAATCTGATTCCAATTAACTCATCTAGCTTTTTTTTTTACATTCTAAATATAGAGCAGAGTAATATGACACTCTTACAATACACCATCTGAATAGTCTTAGATAATAATTGGGCCACAATTTATTGTCTTTGGGAGGTTGATGACAGGATTCTCTACAACAAATCTTTGAGGTCACATTCCCAAACTTGAAGAAATCTGGCTGATTACTTGAAGAAATCTGGCTGATTTCTAGTTGGTCTTAATTAAGACTGTATTGCACACTAATTAACATCCCTCTAAATGCCAAACAGGACGTATTTATCGACATTGTAACATAAACATGCTATTTTAGTTAGCCCCCAACCAATAACTAAACTAGCCCGTACCCTATACTGTCTTCATATTTCAGTTGCCAATTTAATACTCCGATTAAAATGTATCTAACGAAGTACTGACAGTTGGAATTCAATTTATAATAACTAACTCACCATCCAATATTGTAGTAATTGCAGATCAAACACAATCATGTTGTAACAGAAATTCAACGTTCAGGGTAAGTAGGTCGACTCGGCGTGGCGCTATTCGCCGCGGATCTATGGCGTCACTGTAGGGGATTTCCCTAATTCCCGTATTTCTTTTAAAATTTTAGTTACTTGCGGTCATTCCGGTCAATATCGTGTATATATTCACTAAAACCTGACAGAAAAAGTAAATCTTAACACTGCTCTTCTATTCTAGACCAAAATGTCCATTGCCACGCAAAAGGCGAAAAAGATGAAACAGATCACATCATAGGACTAATCTTAATACAATAGCCTACATTCAGGGGAGACAATATACCAGTTTTGTTGGAGGCAGACCACCATTAATTTTCCATATCTCGGAACAAATTGTAGTGCCGGCTATTTTTAGATATATAATTTTCTCCCTCCTTTCCTGCCATTTTACATGCTTTTCTGTATTGACCTTTTGGTGTAGAATTGATGAAGAGGCATTGAATTTCTATTTTCTACTTGGTTTGGTATCAGATTGAGACTTTTCAGGCGGAAGAATACAAGGAGTAAAGAGGCTTTGTTTTGTTTTTGCACTAACACGGACATGAAATTCTGACCCCAGTCTGCTATGAATTTCAGTGAATTGAAATTTTGGTGGTCAACCTCACATTAATTTAGTTCTCTGATGATCCCATGATGTCATATACTTGCTGTGCTGTAAAGCGAAGTTCTCAACGAAATTTAGGGAATTATGGGCTACAGCATGTAGAACACCACTGATTTAACATTGCAGGTGTAGACAAGTAAAGTTGAATCTAACGAAGTGGAGTCAATGGAGAAATTAATGGTGGTCTGCCTCCTGTTCCATCAGGTAACAGATCACCAATGGTTTCCACATTGACTTTAATGTTAATTCTCGTCTGTTAGACCGGTTCTAACGTTTTCCCCAAACTGTTGTTAGGTGGAACGCTTTCTACCACAGATGGAGCAACACGTGGCAACCACTTGCTCAAAAGCACATATGATTACGACGTTCATCATGGAAAACTTGAGAAACACAAACTAGAAGTAATGATAAGTGAAGTCAAACATGCAATTTTCTGCCAACCCCTTAACTCTTGTATCCCCCTGCCTCAAAATCATGAATATTCACCAAAACATGGCAGAAAATGTATATTCGAACCCTTTCTTCAATTCTACATCAAAAGGTCAACGAAAATCACCATGTAAAAGGGGGGGGGGGGGACTAAAAATAGTTTTGGCATGACGTCGTAAAAATAATTGGTGAGCTGTATCCTATAATGTCGGGGTTAAACTTCAGGTGAGCTGTGTCCATCGGTAACGACAACAAAATTAGTTCCCATATCTCGATTATTCTGACAAAAATGAAATGAAATGAAATGGGGTTTAACGTCCTACTTTTCTGCTCCGAACTGGGAGCCGATGGGGCCCTTTTCATTGGACGCAATACGACACCAATGACCAACTTGCCAATATCAGTATGGGCGCCCCATAAAGCCGAGTGACATTGGTTGGGCGCCAAGACGAGATTGGCGGGGCTCCAAACTATTGTTACTTGTTTTTATGAGCACCTCGCCAATCGTGTCGTTTTAATGAATCACACGATTAACACCACAACTTGACTGATGGGGAGCCTAAAACGGCGTGATCTGTGGGGTTTTTTTTATCCCGGAGGGACGCCCTTAATGACATGATTGGTGGGTCGCCCAGGCCCGTAACTAGGAGGTCGGGGGGCGCATGGGGGGACTCCTGCAAAAAGTCCCCCCCCCGTGAAAAAAATGTCGACCATATAGATATACATTGTCCGTCGATTTTACAGCACCCTGAGAATACTTCACGCTCCGCCCCCCCCCACCCGCACGTTGCTCTGAGATAGTTACGGCCCTGAGGTCGCCTTATAATGACTATATGATTGTCGGGCCGCACATAATGCAAACTGCCGAGTGAGATTGGTTGGGCGCCCACAACTTGATCAACGGGGCGCCCAAACCGGCATGATTGGCGGGGTGCCTCATTCCGGAGGGGCGCCCATAATGCCGAAATCATGGGTGCCCAACCAAGAAACCGACTGCATACTGACTTCCGAATAAAGCTACCATAAGAAAGCCAACTGGAGGTTCTAGGAAATTGTCCAGATCTAATTCACGATGGCAGTGACTCCAGTGAGATTTATTCAGACCCGCAACAAGCGTGATAATCTTCAAAATTCAAACAAGTCGCACTCTAACCCGATTCCGAACTTTTCGTTTTTCTCATAAAATTTAATAGGTAAGCTTAAGTTGTATTCCTTCCTTCAAATTTGTATAATGTTTATATCAAAATATCATAAAACCTCAATATCGTAAATTCAGCCTCAAAATTGAAATTTTTTGTCATTTTCATAGTTCCTCTCCTCTGGTGCAAACGCTGTTTTCCAAAATTATCCGTGGGGAGAGCACCCTAGACCGGAGGGCGGGGGCGTCCACGGTGCCGTTCGCCGTGGACCTCCAGACCAAGTGTAGATACATCGGCGCCCCCAGAATCCCCATCGGCGCCACCTGATGCTCTTAATTATCTCGTGGGAACGAATTAGTATCTCGTTTGAACGAGATGATTAATTCGTTCAAACGAGGACACTTACTCGTTCAAACGAGATAATTAATTCGTTCAAACGAGATACGGATCAAACGTATAGTAAGTATCTCTGTGTTAAAATGATATTTGGAATGTGTAAATCGCTATAATTCTTTGGCACCTAGAAATGGACACAAATGGGCCACAAGGCCTATAATCAACTCTCCCGACCATCGGGTGGTTGTGATGGATTAAAAAAACGCGAGGTTTAAAAACTTAACGATAAACTGAATGTTTTTTGCTATGATGATAAACGCTTCAATCAAACAGCCATAACTTCGCTCAGAAGAAAGTAATTTGAATAAAAATTTTAATATACCCATTTTTCATTATCTAATTTTGAACTACTGTGGCAAGAATGACCGGCCCTTTATCTAAATCTGACTTGATACATTTTTAATGCCATTGTATCAAACTAGCTAGTATCACCAGCCAAAACCAACAACACTAAAAGATACTTGATGTAATATCGTTAAGCGATAGTCTCTCTTCCTGGCTCTGTTTATTAAACTGTCCCTTTCTGAAACACCCGAGGCCCTAGAACATCATAGATAACTCCATTAAGGGGGTTAGTGGCACTGAGTATGTCAATGAGTTAAGTGACGTGGTTTCGATTTTCCGTAACTACGTGACAAGGAGTAGGGTTGCCTATCCAACCTCGTGGATTTTCTTCCCACAGCTAAAGATCCATACGCACAAGCGAATTATTGAAATAAAAAAATTAAGCATGCGTTAGCCCCGAAATTGCCGAGTACCCAAACTTTGGTTGAATGCCTTTTCGTACAAAAGATGTGACAACGTGTTACATCTTATCATCGGTCGATTAGGCATATGGTCATCGCATGAGCCAATCTGATTAAACACAGATCCTATTTCGTTTCGTTTTTTTATAGTTCACAATTCCGTTTTGCCTGTCTTTACTACACTAGGATCTGGAAGAGTTGTTATATAACGTGCGTTCTAGTTGAAGTGGGGGATTAGCCAATGAAACGGTCTGCTACGGCGAGTCTTTGGCGTTTGATGCACGGAACAGTGGGTAAACCACTAGAAACGTCAACGCTGATTGATTCATCAATGCCTGACGTCATAGGGTCAAAACCCGCTCATGCCACCCCTGACGCAAACTTCCAATACGACCGACCAGATCTTCATGTGTAGGCCATCGAACATATAAAATAAAACGAAACGAAATATAGATCCGTTTCTCAATAAAATAAAACCAAGTATGAACAATTCAAACCATTCGACAAAATTCGAAGTCCTAAAAAAAACGGTATAGGCAAAACAGTGGTAACAGGTGTCCGGAAGAGTAAGCTTAGCCTGCCTGGCGCCACACCCGCCAAACCATTAGACGAAATCTTGGTAAAATAGCGTAATTAGCCAATGGACTATGCGTATGCAAAAAGCACCTGATGAACAGTGTAAACAGATGTAGTAGACATAATCAGGAAGATGGTATAGGCGTCAATTAAATATATCTAGAATAATAGCAGAAAGAGACATGTTATATTTACTAATCAAGTCAATATGCCATAAAACTTTTTAAAGGTTTTTGTAAGTTTAGTTGGCAAGTATCCCTGTAGTTGAAGCTTAGTTAGATGACAAATGCCTCGATCTACTTAAAAAAATCAGAATAAAAGTAATTACAAACTCCCGCGTATCGAACTAGATGAGACACATACACTCCCATATTCCTGAAGCAATGACCCGAGAAATCCCTCTCTGGCCATTGCTGGATTGGCTTCTGATACTTGCGCTTTTGAGGGAGTGTGTGTTTTCTTCCCGTTCAATCAAATCTATCCAAAAGCATAGCAACATGACAGCCCTTCTTTTAATCAGGGGTCTACCCTAAAACTTTGGACAGTGATTTAAGGTATTAATAACGGTGAAAGTGTTGTTCGTCTCAAAACAATATTGTTTACATTATATTCACAGAGTAAAAATCGTGTTGACAGTTTGTCACACAATTAGTTTTTCTGCAATATTCTGCTATGCACTGGTTAATTGGGAATAATAAAATCGTGAGTCATGGTCCAATTTGGAGCTCTGTTTGGTATTGTTACGCAGTTAGCTATTGTAATCGGACTGTTGACCAGTCATAATTTAGAATGTCTAAATGTCTGACTAATCGTTTATTTGTTTTTGCGAGTGCCTGTATATAATCGGCTTCGTAAGAATATAGAAACAAATCAGCAAGCAAAGGTGCACAGTTGGTGCCCATGGGGATACCTACCACTTACTGATACATGGATATTATTACCCCCCCCCCCCCCTCCAAATTCAACAAAGATATTATCAATTAAAAAGTCAAACATCTAAATTTTCTTGTTGGTGGTGTATTAATTTTTGGAATTACTATGGCTCTTAACACAATATGCAGAATTGTAATTAACAACTAGATATTCATATCTAACAGTTCCCAATTTAGACGAAAAGACAATGTGAAAAATGTATTTTAACCGAGCTTTTAATTTACTATGGGGAATTTTAGTGTACAAGGTAGAAAAGTCAAACGTTTGTATAGATGATACGGAAGCAAGTGATCTAGATTGCAACCATCAAGTAATTCTTTGGAATTTTTTAATATCTACATTTGATTAATATCACTACGAGAGTATATTTTGTAACAGTGTGTTTGAATAACCTCTTGAACTGTCGTTAGTATAGATGAAAGTGATT